CTTCCTCTCCCCCCCACTCCCTCAATACCCAGCAGAAACTATTTTGCCCTTATCTCTAATTTTGTTGTAAAGAGAGTATAAGCCATAATAGGCAGGAACAAGGGTTTTTGCTGGTTGAGATAAGGATAGCTATACAGGGAGTTGACTCACATTAATTTCCTGTGCGTGTGTGTTACCTTCTAGGTTAATTCTTTTTGATCTCACCTTTTCTCTAGTTCCTGGTCCCCTTTTCCTATTGGCCTCAGTTGCTTTTAAGGTATCTGCTTTAGTTTCTCTGCGTTAAGGGCAACAAATGCTAGCTAGTTTTTTAGGTGTCTTAGCTATCCTTACCCCTCCCTTGTGTGCTAAAGCTTTTATCATGTGCTCAAAGTCCAATCCCCTTGTTGAGATCAGGTCTTGAGAACTATTTGCCCATGCTGAATTTGAACCGTGATCCTCTTGATCTCTGCCTCCTGAGTAGCTAGGATTACAGGCATGAGCCACTAGTAGCACCTGGCCCTAGCTTTCTCTTCTGTAAACCAAGTAATCAATTCCTCTTCCCTGCAGGTCAGCAAATTGTTCATCTCCATCTTTCAATACGAGCTTCTGGGGGAGCTTAGTGTTTTCATGGGGTGTCTAAGGAAGATGGGAGATGATCTCATTCATTCTGAGGAGGTCTTTCTTTCCTTCCTTCCTCCCTTCCTCCCTCCCTCCATTCCTTTCAGCACTGGGGTTTGAACTCAGGGCTTCATACTTGGTAGGCAGGTGCTCTACCACTTTAGCCACAACTCCAGCCCTTTTGGCTCTGGTTATTTTGGAGATAGGGTCTCCCTTTTTGCCCAGGCCAGGCTGGAATGCAATCTTCCCATTTAATGGTTTCCATTACCACCCCCAGCTTTTCTGTTGTAAGGGAGTCTCTCAAACTGCACCCCCCCAACCCTGGGCTGGCTTCAAACTGTGATCCTCCTGATCTCAGCCCCACAAGCAGCTAGGATTACAGACATGAGCCACCATTAATTAAATAAAATAAAACTACACTTATCCATGTTGTTTCATTGTGCAAACAATATGTTAAAGTTGTGTTCAAATTAGAGTATGCCAAAAGAGAGTTAAGAGAGGGCGTATAGCAATGGGGCGTAGTGGCACATGCCTATAGTCCCAGTACTCAGGAGGCTGAGGCAGAATTGAAAGTTCTAGGCCAGCCTGAGCAACACTGAAAGTCAAGGACATCCTAGACTATACTAGACTATATAATGAGACCTTGTCTGAAAAGAGAGAGAGAGAGAGAGAGAGAGAGAGAGAGAGAGAGGGAGAGAGAGAGAGAGAGAGAGAGAGAGAGAGAACATGAAGGAAATGGATGGGTCTCTGTCATTACAGAAACCAGCTTTTTCTACCAGAATTCTATTTGGGAATGGCCCTGCCAGTCTCTCCTTTTCCAACAACAACATTAAACCATGACTTAGTAAATCTTAAGCTAACATGGTAGGTACCGCATAAAGTACATATTTGTGAACTATAATAGTCCATATAACTGGGTGGCTGGCTGTGTACTGTCACAGTCTTCTGTTTCTTCCCTTTTTCTCACTGCAAGGATCTTACAAGCCATTGTGGAAAATATGAAGTAAATCCCTTCATGTCAGACAATTACTACTTTTTATGTAGTAAGTCAAACAGGTTATGAGCAGCTTAGTGCTGCCTCTAGAAGCTTGTAATTTAGTTGAGAAGGCACATGATTTTTATGTATTTATATTTTTATACTCTTCATAATATATATTTATATGATACAAAGATAAATAGCAATGCAGCACTTTATATTACTTGGTACAGGTAATAAATAAATGAAATAGGTAAAGATGCTGGTGTGGTTAATTAGAGAACAGCTGCCTAAGCAAAGAAATTGCCACGTGTTGAGTCCCTGGCCGTGCAGTGCTCTGTCTGCAGGCTCATAGCCTGCAAGACACACGCTTCTCTGACATTTTCCTGAATTTCCTATATCCAGGCTGATTATATTTTTTTCTCTGTCTATACAGGTTCTTGGTCATTTATAGTGAGAGAAATCTTGCCTTCCCTCCCTCTGTGTCTTTCTTTCTATATAGCTAGATATAGATCGGTATCACATGATTATTTGAAGGATTGAAATTTCATTTCAATTTGGCTTTCCTGGGGAGGAAACGTTTATATCACTTTACACTTTTGAGCATGAATTGCCTGTCATTCTAGGTGTAATCAGTTTCTACTTTTCATCCTACAGAACATTTTATGAATATATTCAGTCAGAAGGAAATCTAAAAATAACTTTGCAGGTAGGGTTTTGTTAGTCTTGTGTAGAGCACCAGTTAGCGAAAAGAACAAAGGCACATCAGGGTAAGGGTAGTGGTGGGCGGAGCATTTCCTTTCATTTGTTCCACCAAAGAGCTTGAATTTGGTGGAGAAGGGAAACAAACAAGAAACAGGAACATCTGCACTAGCTATTGAATGCTTCATTTCTCATGACTGTTAGTCACATCTCAGCAGAACATTGCAGTCTTTTTGGTGTGTATAACTAAGCTCCTCCTTTTTGTTCCAAAAGGAAAAATCTTGAATTATATGTTTAAAAGCATAATGAGATATTTTTGACATTCTGAAGTTCATTTTGGAATTCATAGCTTTAAAGCCCATCCATTTTCAATAAGGTAGTTAAGCATGTGCAATACATTGCATTTTATGCCTACTAGCACCTCTGATGGTCCCTAATGCATAATATGTACACATTCCCTTTTAGCATGTTTCTACCTGACAGGTTACAGCACTAGGCTGAATGTCCCATGAAGGACTAAAATGCCAAGCAGTATTGCAATGGATTATTGGAAAAAGTAAGCTCTTAATACTTTTCCATATTTTCAAGTGACATTTTTACCAGTCATAATTAAGATAATACACTCTTTAAATGCTTAAATTATTCTTCCAGAAATGGGAATGGATTTGGGCTAATTGACATGTGATTCTTTTCTAAAGCAAGATAGACTAAAGCATGCATTTTTACAGGAAAATCCATATTGGAACTCTTACTCAGTATTCACGTGTGTGTTTGTGTCTGTGTGTCTGTGTACATACATACAAGTTTGCTAGTATTAAGAATTGCTAGAATGCTATCATAATATAGTATTCATTTATAAAATGTTCTTATTATTCAGCATAACACATGAGATTTAATAGGCTTTTCTTATTTTGCTTCTACACTTGAGTTTTTGGTCTAGTGGTCATGAACTGTTCCCTAGAAAGTTTGCTTGGAATTCCCAAAACAAAATAATAAAATTATTCATTTTTAAAACTTTTTAATACACAAAATTCAGATTCTGGGTTTACATGATGGGCCATTTGCTAAAAATTAAATGAGCAAATACCCAACAAAGCAATTTGGTCAAGGCTGGTTTTCTTTTTGTTTGTTACGTGGACTTTTTTTTTTTTTTTTTTTGCAGTATGAGGTTTAACTAAGGACCTTGTGCTTGCTAGGCAGGTGCTTTACCACTTGAGCCACAACCTCAGCCCATGTCTGTAGTTTATAAAGAATGCCAGCCATTGTCACCCACCTTAAATTCTTTTTCCCTCTCTTGGCAAAGAGAATCTATCATTTCCATCTTTCATTTTGAAATGTTTAGTTTCTATGTCCTTTCTCAGGTTGTAAACAGATTTTGGAAGAGATTTTTATATTAAGCAATACACTGTTTAATCCTTATTGGCTAGTTAATCATTTGTAACTTTGCAGGTACTCTCAGAATGAATGTGATTTGGAGAAACTGTATTTGTTATCTAAGGCAAGGAAAGGTGCCACACCGATGCCAAAGTGGTTACCATCCAGTGGCTCCTCTGGGATCAAGGATTTTAACTGACCCAGCCAAAGTTTTTGAACACAACATGTGGTAAGTTTTCTTTTTCAGATATGACATTATGTATGTTCATTGATATCACCAGTGATATATGTTCATTCATGACCAAGAGAGGAGTTTTAAAGTTGATGACCTTAATTAGTTTATAGAGATTGAAAAGCCAAGGTAAGCAATCCAGACTTAAGTGTTGCCAATTCTGAATTTCTTTGCAAATGGAATTGGAAAAGTACAACTTCCCTAGCACTTGTAGCAGCCTTGGTGTTCTTGCAGGCATTCCCTGCTTATTTCTGACTTATTTGCCAGTGTCTCACTCAGTGGGGGCCCTTTTCTAGGTGGGTCCCTCCTGATGCCCCACAGGTCCTTCCCTCTTTACACGTGCTAATCACTTGTGTTATTTAGTACCAGTTCATCAGAGGAACACATTTCTATGACTCCAGTCCACAGAATAGCCACATTGCTTGCAAAAATAGATACTTACAGAGAAAGCTAAGAATTAGCAATACAAAGCAACAAATGTAAGGGCCCAGTGAGCATTACAGACTGTAGGCCATATTAAGAACTCAGTAAAGGCTGGCAGAGTGGCCTAGCAAGCATGAGACCCTGAGTTCAAACCCCAGTGCCAGGAAGGAGGGAGAGAAGAAAAGGAAAAAAAAAACACTTCTATATGGGCACACGCAAAACTTGAAATTAGAATTATTTCTTCTGCCTCCAGTACCTGGCATAGTGCCTGACACAGAAGCATTTGTTGCATAATGGTTTACATAGGTAAAGCTGGAGTAAGGGCATTCTAGGTAGGTAGAAAGTCATAAAACACAAAGATAAGCATTTTCAGGAGACAGTAAATAGTATAATTTGCCTTAAAGAGAGAGGTGCTCTAGGAGATTGGTCAAAGATAAATTTGGAATGATACAGGCCAGAGGTGGGCGTGGGATCAATATTGTGCACGGTCTTGAGTTCATAGCTGAAGTGCAAGATAGTACAGAGCCACTAAGAAGAAGCAACATTGCACAGAGACAGATCAGAGTAACTAGAAGTAGGAAAGGTTCAATGGGAGGTTGTGAAGAAAGAATAAATAGAACTTGGTGCTTGTGTAGAATAAAGGAAAAGGAATAATTTAACTCTGAAGATTTGAACTTAAGTCACTGATAGAAATAGGAAAATCAAGAAGTAAATTAATTTTTTTATTTTGGAAGAGAGATGATATTGTAGGTATTATAGATAGTCTTTGAGTGAAGGACATGCAAGTCAAAATGTCCAGAATACAGACTCTACAGCTGGGAAGAGGGAGAAGGGTATCAAGGCTGAAGATATAAAGTTGATGTGTTATCTGCAGACAAAATTGTCATCAGCCTAGCCTATTGAGCAAAGTCTATAGTGCTGGAAAAGTGATTTTTGAACTTTTATTTTTTATTGCAGCAGAATATCGGTTTTAAAAGAAATAATCGGTTTTAAAAGAAATAAATTAATCTTTATTAGTCTTGCTTTGTATAGTATGGTAACCACCTCTACTAATAATCACATGTGATTCTGGAGCACTTGAAATATAGTTATTTTGAATTAAGATGTGCTGTAAGATTTTGAAGGCTTAGTTAAAAAAAAAAAGGTAAAATTTCTCGATTTTAGAGTTTCATGTTGAAGTGAATGAAATTTTGGATATATTGAGTTAAGTGTATTTTATTCATACTAATTTTACTTCTTTTCACTTCTTTTTGTTTGTTTTTAAATTTTGAAATAGGGTCTCTCTGTGTAGTCCACACCAGCCTTTAACTAACCAACTTCCTGCCAGCCTCCTGAGTACTGAGATTACAGGTGTGCACCACCTGTAATCCTAATTTTAAAAAGTGAAAAGATTGGCTTCTTTTAATTTTTTAAAAACATGGTTACTAGAAAGCTTTCAGTTATGTACGTGACTCACATTTTATTTTTTGAAATTAAAAAAAGTAAATTAAACCATTTGATTATCATCACCAGCTTGGACAATTACTGTATGCTGTGAGAGAAAATGGGCCTTTTTCCAGGCAGTGAAATCTCCAGAGGAACCTCTAGTCCTAAACAAGTTCCTTGTTTATCAGGGTTTTTATTCTTCATTAGACCCTAATGATTTAGCTGTCTATGTTCTCTTTTTCCATCTGCCACTGCTAGCTCTTTTGCCTGAAATTCTTGCTTACTGACATAAATTCCGTCTTTCCTTGAACTCTCAGGAAATCAAGGGTTCAGGTCCAGCATTTCTCAAATGCTGATGATTGGCTTTGGGCTGACACCATGAAAATCCCTTGGAGAGTTACTATTTCACTAGTTCTAGAGATACAGCTCAGGGTTTTTCAATTTGAAAACTTTTCAGTAATTCTGTTGAGCAGCCAGATTTGGAACCTTGATTCAATCCAATGGTTTCCAGACTTTTCTTTAGCAGCAGAACATTTTTCAAGTGAAGTTCTAACATGGAATCTCAATATTTAAAAGGTAAAAGCAAACCTGCTCTGAAAAAGGCAGATGTAAAGACCTGGGGCATCAGCTGCTCCACCTCCTTTTCCTCTCTACTTCTTCTTACTCTAGTTACGTAGAGGACCTTAAGGTCTCTGTTGGTTACAGTTTGAAAAACCTTAATGTAGTCTGCACAGCCTTCCTTCTCCATAGCCTGCTCTCCACGGGGTTATCCTGCTGCATGGGATATCTCTCCTGACCTCTCTCCCTGGACGATACATGCTGTCATAACAACAATAAAAATAGTTTCCTCCAAGGAAGGTATAGCTTCAGTTCATCTCTTCACACATCTTTTTTTTTCCTTTTATTTTTCTCCCCCTCCTTTTCTTTTTGTGTTTTTTAAGAGAAAATTTGTAAGTTATTCTCTCCTTACTCTAAATCCAAAGCTCTGTCCAAAAGTCCTCTTCTTCCTTGTTTTCTTCTTTTTATTTAAAAATAATGTTGCTTCTTGCTGAATTTGATTTTTTAAAAGCTGTTTGTAGAAAACTGCATATCAGTTTTCTCTTAAGATGTTGTTCAAAATTGTCTAAGATTCATTTTCCCCTTTAGTTTCTACTTAGTAAGTAGGATTTGCTATATAAATGACCCTCTGCAAAAATCTTTTGATAGAAAGTAGAGATTCCATTTTTAATTCATTTCCAATATCTTAAGAACAATTTGCCTTATAGATTCCAAATATTTGGTGGTACTAGGGTTTGAAATCAGAGCCTTGTGCTTGCTAGGCAGATGCTCTACTACTTGAGCCACTCCTCTAGCCTCAGATTCTGAATATTTGTATTATGTACTTACATCTACCTATAGTCTTTTATTTTTTAAACAATTTAGTGAAGTAAAATTCACATAATATAAAATTAGCAATTTTAAAGTAAATAATTCTCTGGTGTTAATTACATTCACAGTTTTTATGTAGTTATTACCCCTATTTAGTTCCAAAACATTTTCATCACTTCAGAGTGAAACCCTTTATTCATGAAGTAGTTATCCCCATCCCCTTGTCCCTAACCTATAGCAACCACTATCGTGTATTTTGTTTATATCGACTTACCTATGCTGGATATTTCATATGACTAGAATAATACAATATATTGCTTTTGTGACTTTCTTCTTTCACATAGCATAATAACTTTGAGATTCTTCTACCTTGTAGCATGTGTTTGGTGCCTTTTTATGGCTGAATAATATTCCATTGTTTATGTATACCACTATTGGTTTATTCATTCACCTACTGGAAGGACATTAGGATATTTCCACTTTTTGGCTCTTTTTGGAGAGTAGTGCTATCAACATGTGATACATGAACTTGTTTGAGTTTCTGTTTTCAGTTTTGGGGGGTATATGCCCAGCAGTAGAACTATAGGGTCACATGATAATTCTGTTTACGTTTTGAGCACTTGTCAAATTTTTATCCATATTAGCTGAACTATTTTACAGCCTGGCTGTAGAATTTTCATTATATTTACTACCTTTCATCAGTTTTAGGGAGTTCTGACCAGAAATGATACTCAGAGTGCTTTTCAGACATAGCCCAGAAGTCTGTCTAAATTGAGTAGTTTACATAGTTACTTGGAAAAATCATTCCTCATTCCACACTGTTCCTAGTTAAATTGTGTGGGGACTTTTTCAAGGGACCCTTGAAATTTGTAAGGAAGCAGTAACCATTTGTATTATCTTCTGACTAAATCAGCTAGGCCTGTGGCATGATTCATAATAAGTTTACTTCTTTGACTAGTACATATAGACATAATATATACACATATATAGAATAGGACAATTTTTACCGCATGAGATGTACAACATGTTTTCCACTCATTCCATTCGACTGTTTCTGTTTCTTTCTAAGTGTTGTTTAGACTAACTAAATTGATTTCATGACTCACTAAAGGGATATAACATTTAGCTTAAAAAACTGAGCTAAGCCAGTCTCTGCCCAAGGTAAGACCTGGATGTTGCAACATGATTTCTTTTACATAAGCCATTTAAGTAATAAGACTATTTCCAGAATCATAATAGGGTTCAGATGCCAACAGTTCTTATTACATAATTTTTCATATATAATCATCATATTTATTATTTGATTTATTGCCCAGTTTCATACTTACTTCTTAAATACAGTTGATCAATAAGCATTTTATGACTACCTGCAGCATAACTTGTTATGAGAGACAATAGAGTCTAGATGTTGGGAGCACAGACTTAATAGTTACCTCACCTTGGGAAGTTACTTAATCCCTCTGTGGCTCAATTTCCTCATTTATAAGGTGAGATAATAATGTGATACCTATCTTGAAGGGTGTTGGGAGGATTAAGTGATCATATATAATGTAAAGTCTATACATAGTAAATAGCAACATACTATATAAGAATTAGCTACCTTATTATTACCATTTTCTAATGTATACTTTAGTTGTTTATATATATTTTGTTTTCATTATTTATTAGGATGTACAGTTTTATACAGAAGAGAGTGTCTTATGTCTGTTTCATAGCTGTATTTTCTATATATTAAGCATCCAATAAATATGTTTGAATAAGTGAATCAATATAGAGAAATG